TTCGGTAAACCATACAGACATGGTGTAGACTCCCTGGGTATAGCCTGTTGTATGAGGTCCGGTCGATAGCCTTGTCTTGTTCTAACTGCTTCAGACAGTCTATTACCCTCTTCCTGCAGCCACTCCCTGGGTCTCGTTTCAGGGGCTCATAAGTATTTTCATCACTGAGTAGTGACAAAATCTTCTCATAATAGTCTTTCTGGTTTAGCAATACTGTGCACCTACCCTTGTCTGCCGGAAGGATGATAATGTTGTTGTCATCACTAAGTGATGTGAGTGCCTTCCTCTCTTTTTTAAATTTTTTTTTTTTAAATCTGCTGAACCATCTCCAATTTTAAATCTGCAGCAATGCTTGAACATGAAATGTAATTTGGCAGCTACACTAAGGAAAGTTTAAGTATTGGTAATTAATTGGGTAATTAAAATATTAAAAAAATTAAGTATTCCTTTAAAATCCATTATTTGAACACACATTAATTAAAAAAAACCCTTCTCATTGCAAAATGCAACTTGTGGCAATTTCTGAATTGTTGATAGTTATATCTCACAACAATAATACAAAATAAAACACGGAGATTACGAAAATTACGAAAATTCTATTTTCATTCAACTTTGTACCAGAAAAATAAAATTATCAGCAGTTTAATCTGAAAAGAAACAAATTCTGGAGTATCCACATTTACTTGCATAATAACTGAAAAAAAAAATTGTTATATATGAGCATTTGTTTCATCTTCAATACCTTCCCGACCGACTGCGCCAGAGCTGTCTTATAATTCAGGTTAGGTTTAAAACACATACATGTTTGTGGCTAAGAATTTCATGTTAAAAATATTTTCTTTTTGCATTTTGGGGAAATATTCACCTGGTAAATTGTAATGTAAAATGTAATGAAGACAAAACCAATTTTTTAAATAGATATATTTCTAAACGTGCTATTGACATGACATGACATGACATGACCAGATGTCTGTAACACTCTAATCCATACATGCAAAGAAATCAGATCATATATGTCCATAAATTATGTGTAATAATAAGAAATGACACAGATAGAAAGTCGTGACACCGGCTGAAATCACCAGCTAATGGCATTGGTTACAGAAAAATTTCTAAACAACTAAAGGTCCCAGTGAGCACTTTTGGAGAGTTGTCTAAGAGGCAGGACCAGTTGAAGAGAGCTACAGAAAGACTTGAAATCAGCAGGTACTATTTAAAAGAAAACAATAAGTAGTGCACTCAACCACCATGGCCAGTATGCACGCTCACCATTCAAGTATTCATTGCTGAAGAAAAAACATGTTGAAGCATGCTTAAAGGTTCTGAACAACATTTAGGCAAGCCTGTGAAATACTGAGTACAGTCTGGTCAGAAAGAGACCAAAATTAAACTCTTTGGATTGTAAGCTAGATCCTACAATAATACATACAGAGAAGAACCCAATCATATGACCCTCTACAAGTAAGCACTTTGGCAACAGTGGGAAAGAAAAACTCCTTTTTAACAGGAAGAAACCTCCAGCAGAAGCAGACTCAGGGAGGGGTGGACATCTGTCCTGACCGATTAGGTGAGAGAAGGAAGACAGGACAAAAGACATGCTGTGGAAGAGAGCCAGAGATTAATAACAAGTATGATTCCATGCAGAGAGGTCTATTGACATATAGTAAGGGAGAAAGGTGACAATACAATAAAGTGCTCCTTGAAAGCACAGGGAAAATGTGATGTTCTATGACTGGTTAGTAAGAGTAGAAAAGTGTTATATAAATAAAATTACATACCATGTATCTCCAAAAATTATGATTTTTTTTCCAGTGAATTGAAGCATCTAGTGTTTCTTTCTGGGTTAGGATAACTAACCTGTTAACCATTTAAAATTGTTGTTTATTGCTGACATAACCTCTTCCTCTTATTCACCAGGTGATCACTATAGGCAGGCACGTGAAAGGATATCACTATATCATCGCAAACTTGGTGAGTCATTTTCCAGTCTTTAAATGAGGCTGACCAAGTATATTTATGTATGTACTGCAGGCCATTTATGTATGACTGTTTAACAATAACGGCGGTTTACATAACTCAGTTTAGATTGGGATCTAATAACAGGTTTACACTTAGTAACTGGGATCCTAAAGCAGGCAGCCACATTTAGACATGCTGTGAGAAGACTACCTTTTGCTTGCACTACTGCAATTTATATAATAGAGCAGTAGTTGCTGAGTATACTAGTCATAACTCATTCCATTGGCATGCGGACTAGATTGCTTTTGTGACTATTCTCAGTGTCATTCAACAGTATTTTTAGATGTTGCTGATTCTGGCCTTATGTTTAACACCTTTGCTCTAAGTAAATCTCTGAAAAATAGCTGGAGGCACATCATTTGCTCTGCATGATCAAGGCTCCATGAGATCTTAGCAGAGAAGAAAATAGTGTTTGCATATTAGTATTAAATAAACTTTTTGTAAATTTCAGTAATTGTATATTTTGTTGATCTTGTTCCAGGGTTTTGTGGATGGTGACCTCTCTAAAATCCAGTATGGAGGTGCAAATGTGTCTGGCTTTCAGATTGTAGATTTTGATGATCCTGTGGTGGCAAAGTTTGATCAGCGATGGGAGGCTTTGGAAGAAAAGGAGTATCCTGGAGCTGATATAAGGATTAGAGTAAGATTTGGACATCCAACAATCTTTTTTTTTGTTTAATTTAGTGGAGTTTTAGTTATTTCAGCAAAAGTTATATGCTATAAGAAATGGATTAAGATTGCCGGGAGATGGTCTAAGAATCAGGCCAGCAAAAATGTATTCTAATATCAAGTAATCTTTAGTATAATACATAAACAAGTATAATACATACAGCTTGAGTTAATCAAAGTGAGTTGTACATGACTTAGGTGTGCATTAAAATTAAAAGTCACACCTGTAGCACTTCTAGGGAATTCTAGAAGATTTCAGGCTAGACTGAGGCATATATGAAAATGATCAATGGGTTTGAGAGCTTCTTTGCCTTCTTTTTAGCTGGCAAATAAAATACTGCACCACATTCAACATAAAAAATGTCAGCTTGGAGGCTCGTTAGTTCATGCCATATGTAGTCTGTACTATGACAAGGGATGAAACCTTGTCATAGTTTCATCCCTTGAATTCTAACCTATGTTATAAAGATCTGGCTGATGCTTGATGAGTGGTCCCTTGCTATATCGTGGTTCACCATTTGCGGTCTCGCTGTTTCGCATATTTTTTTTTTGTGTTTGCAATTTTGCATGCTTTTTTTTAAATATCAGTCAATCTTGTGCCGTGTCTCCTGACAGTACAGAATGCGTTCAGCTTGTCAAATTTACATAAATCTTCAATCGCTGTCAGTGTGACTCTGAAGTGCTGTACTGTATGCTTGTAAGTTTTCTCCCCAACAAACACAACAATGTCGACGATACGTCGTCACCTGCAGGTGCCTTTTGCCTTTCAAACTGATCCAATCACCTGAAATTTCGTGTTAATTCTCTGAGATTCACAGTCAACATCAGACATTTTGACATAGGTTAGAATTCCTTAACAGACAGCTCCCTGGTTGGACACCTGGCCAGTTGGTCCCTTGCAGCATTGCCTTTATTGCAACTGTTAAATGAAGTAAAATGTCCCCAAACTATATTTTTTGCCATTATTTTTGTCCTTCAGTATACTTCAGCCCTCACCTATGATGCAGTCCATGTGATGACTGAGGCATTCCGATTCCTGCACAAGCAAAGAATAGATATAAGTCGTCGCGGCAACAGTGGGGACTGTCTAGCTAATCCAGCAGTACCCTGGGCGCAAGGGGTGGAAATTGAGCGTGCCCTCAAACAGGTAAAAAGGATTTGAATGTCTTTAGTTTGAATGCACAAAGAAGAAATCATAAAAGCTAGGTGTAAGAGTTTAGATCAGAGATGTTGTTGAAAAATCTTGCTGTCTTTTATTTGGTTACTTGTCAAAAGCTATTAAAATTTAATGTTTGAAAATATAATTGAAAATATAATCATTTGAAAATTGTTCTAGCAACACAATCAGTCATTTGTTTGAGTGGAAGTAGTGTGTGGTGAAGGTACCAGTGGAGATGACCAAAAGTAGGGTTGCCCTTTGTTAACTTATCCTACTATAGCCACCAGGTGTGCATGAGGTGTGGGTGTGCATGAGATCCAGAAAGTGCCTATTTTCATTTTAATTTTTGTAATTTAATTGACTGAATTTCATTCTTAAGCTGTGCCATTAATAATTCAAATAATGTGTATGCAGGTGCATGTAGATGGTTTAACAGGGAATATACAGTTTGACCAGTACGGGAAAAGGATCAACTATTCGGTGACAATCATGGAGCTTAGGAACAATGGACCTGTTAAGGTAACTAAAACATCAGGTTGCCATAATATGTATCATTAGAACACATTTTCTAGCTTGTATGTGCAAGATATTTGCATAACCTTACTTGTGTCTGTTCACAGATTGGGTATTGGAATGAGGTGGATAAGATGGTTCTGACAAAGTCAGACCTTTACCCAAATGACACAATGGGAATGGAAAATAAGACTGTCATCGTTACAACGATACTGGTAACCCATGAATAGAGTTACAATTGACCATGTCAGTCAATGTCAAACGTTTTCTGTCTTCTATTCTCTAACAGTGCAGTAGTAAAGATGATCCAAAATGTGAAAAAATAGCATGAAATTTTGAAGAGGCTGTCTGTCTCCTGATTCCAAACTGGGATCTTGTTCCACAGAAGAGGGGCATGAACACTGTAGGCTCTGCCTTGCATTCTACTTTTAAATACGCTAGGAACCACAAGTACATCAGCAGTCTGAGAATGAAGTGCTGTATTGGAATAGTATGGTACTATGAGGTCTTTAAGATAAAATGGGACCGGATTATTCAAGCCTTGTATGAAACAGACATTACAGATGTACACATGGAAATCTGCCGAAAGCATTCAGCAGTGTTGGGACTAACGCGTTATTAAGTAACACGTTACAGTAACTACGTTATTATTGTGGTAACAAGCACGGTAACTAGTTATTATGCCAAAATCAGGAACGCGTTACTCGTTACTGGGATTTAGATGGGCTCGTTATTCGTTACTTCGTGTGGTGGCTATCGCGGAGCTTCCACAGATTCAATAACATTAGCAAGTGGTGGAAGCCAGCAGGTGGATGAAGGAAAAGGGAGGCAAGAGGAGAGACCCGAAGCGGCCGCTGGTCCGAGAGTGTCAGGTGAACTGAACTTCAGGTAAGAAGTTAACCTGCAGTCCATCTGGGTCAGATATGAACCAAGTTTAGGTGGAGTTTATTTTCGTTATGCTGACTTTTTCGTACTGCGTGCTAGCTAGCATGACGGAGTTTCTATACAGCTGGGTGGGTGCTATGTTACTGATGTTGAACTTTATTTTGTTCATAAGGTTAATTATTAGAGTTGCCAACCGTCCTGTAAAAAACGGAATCGTCTGGTATTCAGAGAAAATATTACGCGTTTCGTATTGAGGTGAAAAGGAACAGTTTGTCCCGGACTTCAGCTACAATGAAAAAGACACAAAGCTGGAGTTATTCTGTGTTTACGCTGCACAGCTGCCTCTTCTTCTCTCATTCACCCTCCCTCTCCTGTTTCTACTTCAATCATGAAACTGATCAATGATCAGCTGATCGGCTTTTCTCTCTTGTTTGTTTATCGCCCACTTTGCGCCAGAAAGAGGAAACCAGCGGATGTCGCGCTAAACAACAGCAGCACGTTTAAGCTTGATCAGCTGTTGTTAGAATTTATTTAATATTAATTTCTAGTATCAGCTGATGTTTGCTGGAGCCACAGCTGTAAAGCTGCTGGTCATGATATCGGTTTGGATATCTGGTGAGAGGGAAACATGAAGATGAAACCAGGAGATGTCCTTACTGAATAT